GCTTTTTTTTTTTTTTTTGAGAATAGTAACAGTTCTCTATTCCAGCAAGATTTTGGTGTCAACTTTTATGTTTTCATAATAAGCAAACTCAAGTTGATTTCTCACTTTAAATTTGAGGAGGCCTATTACAATATCAAGAGAATACATGTCAAGATTCTATTTGTTTAGATTCATTGTACTGAATAAGGAAAATCTTATGGAGATAGAAGTAAGCATCTTGGAAAAGGCAGTACTTGTCATTTGGTGGGAGATTGACTTTGATAAATAATGTATGGGATGACAATTTCAAAAATTTAAATAATGTATGGGGTGGTATTCAAACATATGTTATATCTCTAATTCCAGTCCCAACAAAGGTGGAGAAGAGATGAAACATGTTGAAGAGTAATTTCTTATGGGAAGAAAATTCTGGAAGGGGGAAAATACATTTAGTCAAATGGTCCACTATTATGAAAGATGAAGAGAGAGGGGAATGGGAGTAAAGTATCCAAGACATAACAATAAAAACTTATTGTGCATGATAGGGATGGAAAATTTTCAGTTGGAAGATTGTACAGAAAAAAATTGTCCTCACAGCCTGGGAACATCCCTGGACCTTGTAAACAAATATGGAAATCTAATATCCCTACGAAGATCAAGTTTTTCACATGGAAGGTATGTAGAAGAGCATGTCTTGACTCAGGAGAAACTGAAAAAGAGAGGTTTTGAGATTGTCTGAAGGTGAAAGGAGGAAACAAAGAGTCATCTGTTTCTTCATTGTAGAGTGACTTCTCAAGTGTGGCATATGTTTCTTAATCTCCTCCAAAAACCATGGGTGATACCTGAGCATACGGCAGATCTTCTAACCTGCTGGATGAAGAGAGGAGGGAGTAAAAAACAGAAAAAATGGTGGAGCCTAGTCCCTTTTTGCATATGGTGGTCAGTCTGGAAGGAAAGAAATTATAGATGTTTTGAGAATATGACTAATCCAATGCAGAAAGTAAAAGAAAACTGCATTAATACTTTATATCTTTGGTGTAAAGAAGAGGGTATAGATGAGGTAGAACAGCTAGTAGACTTCCTAGGCTCTCTGTAATAATGATTATTTGCACTGTGATTTTTTGATGGTTGACAGCGTACCCACATTGCTGAGGAATACAACTTTACGTTGCTTGAAAAAAAAAAAAAGAAGTTTATTGTGCATGTGGCTTTTGGAGTGATAATCTCAAATTATGTAAAGGATTGAGACTGTTGTTCCAATCCAGTGATAGCTCCTAATGGTGTTGCAGTGTAGCAGCAAATAAGAGGGTTCTGGAAAGAGTCAGATGAGAATACTTAATGAAAAATGGGCAATGCAGAAAAGATTAAACTGTTAAGTGAAAAATGGGCAATGCAGAAAAGATTAAACTGTTAAGTGAAAAATGGGCAATGCAGAAAAGATTAAACTGTTAAGTGAAAAATGGGCAATGCAGAAAAGATTAAACTGTTAAGTGAAAAATGGGCAATGCAGAAAAGATTAAACTGTTAAGTGAAAAATGGTTGGAGGATATGACACTATAAGATCTTTTTCCAGAATTTTTCTCTCGTGAACACAAGGATTGCAGTATTGGTAATTGCTCTTCTGACAATGGATAAAAGTTGCAGTTTAGGAGTCGGTCTAATGATTGAGAGATTGAAGATGTTAACCCGCTGCTGCAAAAATTGACTTCAGTGGTGATTGTTGAGTGTTCAAAATATAATTAACTAATAAAAGTGTGTTCTCTCTAACAACTTAAACTTTTAGATGAGATGGTCACACACTTCAACATGGTACCAGAGCAGGCAGAAGTCCTGGGATCGAACAACTTAAGCTTTTAGATGAGATGGTCACACACTTCAACATTGAGGATAGGGAGGACTCATACACTGGACAGCCAGTAAAGATAGGAGGTTCTCTGTTAAATCCTGTTATAAGTAGCTTCCTTGTTTATAGGTCAAAGCGGATTCGGAATTATCTTTCATTCCAAGGCATAACTTGTATCCATGCGTTTCATATTCGTCCAGAGTTCGCTTAGGAATACAGCTATGCCTGCCCCCAAAATGTTGCAAGTTCAAGGATACAAAGTAAATGAATGGCCTGCTAAGATGATCTGTGAGACTAAAGTTCCTCCTAAATTGGCATGTTTGTATGGTTTGCAGCATGTGGTTGTTGCTTGACTCGATAAGCTACAAATACTTTGAATCAACCAGGCAGATTTTCATGCATTACTATCTAATTTTGGCAAATCTAAGGCCCATTGTTCTTAGATTTTTTTGGTTTTCATTTGGTGATTCCTGAGGGCCGAAAGCAATTGCTTAGTGCTAGCAGCATCAGAGGATTAACAAATGGCAAAGGCAAAGCTGGATGTCGATACCATTATGCACAATCTTGTTTGCAACTTATTCCCTGGTTTAAACCTTTTTTTAATATGATGTTGACCCTTAATGCTATTCACCAGTTCTATTCTTCTGTCAGTTTGCTATTTTGATCAGGTTAGTCATTTTGATACATTCTAGATTTTACATAATCTTGTTTGCAACTTATGTCCCCGTTTGAACCTTTTATATAAATGTTGATCTTTAGTGCGATTCAGCTTTTTGTGGATCTGCTATTTGATCAGGCTAATCATTCTGATACATTCTTCCTCGTATGCAGGAGGTATTGTGAACAATACTCTGAGGCCAACAATTCCTAACTACTGTGATTCAGAATGGAGGTGCTTGATGGAGCAATGCTGGTCCCCAAATCCTGCATCTAGGCCCTCTTTTACAGAAATTGCCAGCCGATTACGGTTATTGTCGTCTGCTTCCCAGAACAAAACTACCGGTCAAAAGGCAACTAAATAATAGTTGTCTACCTACCTTCCACTTGTTTATGTGGAAATTAATTTATTTTGTTGAAGCAACAAGCGTTATGCTTGGGCATTTATATAAACAATTGCTCTACTTATATTTGCGTATCTTGTTCTGGAAAAGCAAGAAAATAAATCTTTTATTCATTAACAATAACCCTTTTTGCAATTGAAAAATTCACGGCCCATTTTGCACGTCTGTCTGTCCTGTAGCGAAGAAATAATGCTGCTAATCTTCTGCTACCGAGGAAGGGAAAGTTCACAGTTGGGTATCAAAAAGTGATGATCCTATTGAAACTCTAAATTTTGGGTCAAAACAAGTTAATGTTATTAGATGGAAATGTAGAGAGAGAGCTGTAAAAATGCCATTGGTGCTGATGCTCAATAGGAACCACCAGTATTACAATTTGGATTTGTCCACAAGTAGAGTTGTAAAAAGGCAGGTCAGTATTGAATAACCATTAGACTGAAAACCATTGAACAAGTAGCAGCAACCTCGTCCTCAAGGTTGTTCAATCCTAATTAAGGAAGGCAGTGAAGAGCATGATGTGCAAAGTAGTACTTATCATTTAGTTGAAACCAAAAGGAGCAGTTGGACGGAATATTAAAAATGGTTGCAAAATTATGGTTGGAAGACATTGGGATTTTTGTTTGTTTATACCTAATAAAAATAGATAAAAACAATATTATTATTGTGTGGTGAGGATCACGAGACGTGTGGCGTTGACCACAACTACGGGACCATATATATGCCTGACACAAAGAGATTGAATTGAAAGAAAGAGGAGAAATGGAGTGCGTGTCTCCTTTCAAATCAGACATACTCAAAGGGAAAGTAGCACTATTGACCGGAGGCGGTTCCGGCATCGGCCTTGAGATCTCCACTCAGTTCGGCAAACATGGTGCCTCCGTTGCCATCATGGGACGCCGCAAGGCCGTCCTCGACTCCGCCGTCTCCTACCTTCAATCCTTTGGTATTCCGGTAACTACTTTTCCTCCTCCACTTTTATCCATACATGCTAATTATAATTAGGTCGTTGATCACATGCACAAAATTTTACATGATTCTCATTTTGATTTACCCTAAATTAAACCTATCTGTTCATCCCTGCTTCTGAATATACCTGTACAGCTGCCATCCCCTTTTTGCCAACATCATGAAACCCTTAACAACATGTTACCGCTTCTTTTGGTGCTATAGTCCATGTACCATCAAACATCAAAGGGGCAGCTAGAGACTACCACTTTTATTTTCAACACTGCTCTGCTCTACTCCGCTCCTCTCCTCTCCTTCACTTGTTTAACTTTCCTTTGCACATCCCCTAGGCAATTGGCTTGCAGGGGGACGTCCGCAAGCAAGAAGATGCAAAAAGAGTTGTAGAGTTAACTGTCAAACAGTTTGGGAAGCTCGACATTCTTGTTAATGCTGCAGCTGGCAATTTCCTTGTGTCTCCTGAGGATTTGTCTCCTAATGGCTTCAGGACAGGTTTGTTTCATAAGATTCAGTTTCGTATGTTTTAACACTCCACTACCATTCAAGTAGGATGTAGGAAGAAGAGGAAAAACAGACATGATTTGATAACAACCACTCATAACAGCTTTCTTAAGATCTTCACATAATCATAGCCATTCTGAATGTTTAACCCTTGATGTTGTAGGAGATATTCTCTTCTAGTGGGTAGCTTGACTTAGAAATCGTTAGAATCTGCTCAATTATATTCTAACCAGCTTCTTCAAAATGGCTAGTCTCTATATTGAAGGTGATTCAAGGTTCAAAGGCTGAGAGCTTGGTTAAAGAAACTGCCTTGTCATGAGTGAAAAATTCCTTTTAAGACCTTCTGTGTTGTCAGCCTGTCTTACTCTATTTTCCTAAAACAAGAGTAGAAGAGGAAAGTTTATTGTTTGTTTCTCCATTGATCTCTTGGGCTTATGGAAGCTTCTTGAGGAGGTTATGGAAAGAAGGTTGAGTGAGGGGAGTGCTTGTAGTAAAAGAGTATAGCAAGTCACTTTCCTCTCTTAGATTTGAAGTGAGGGGAAGGCTTTCACAGATTACATACTGATTCTTTTTGTATGATCATGATGGCTTTTGCAGTACTAGATATTGATTCTGTTGGTACATTCACTATGTGCCATGAGGCACTTAACTATATCAAGAAAGGGGGACCTGGGAGGAGTTTGACGTCTGGTGGAATGATACTGAACATCAGTGCTACTTTGCATTACACTGCATCTTGGTATCAAATCCATGTAGCTGCTGCCAAGGTTTGGAACTTTTGCTTCAAGCATAGTTTGTGTTCATTTTTGTTGTGTTATTTATAACTCCCATTCACATCATCTCTCTGTACAGGCTGCTGTTGATGCAGTCACTAGAAATTTGGCTCTAGAATGGGGCACAGACTATGATATTAGGGTCAATGGTATTGCACCAGGCCCTATAGGTGATACTGCTGGCATGCGTAAACTTGGACCGGAAGAGATAAGCAATAAGAGCAAAGAATACATGCCTTTGTACAAACTTGGGGAGAAATATGATATTGCCATGGCTGCTCTGTACCTTGCGTCAGATGCTGGTTGGTATCTGATGCTTTTTAGACTTGCACATATATGATCTGGTTAAATTTTAAGATATTAAATATAAATTGAGATAGATGCATCTTGTCATTAGTGACATGGTTCAAATTAGGTGACAGACATTTTCCACTTCTACTCCCTGCTCTTGCCTCATCACCAGGTGCATGTCCAAGTTCTCTACTAATGTGACCAGTTAGTGTCAGTTTCTTGCTATGAACAGCTATTGTCAGTTCTTGCTATCCACTTGTGGCATCTCTCTTCCTGTTCCTTATACTGGGTTGAATTTGCAAATGAGGACTCACTTTTCCACTATTTTTCTCTCACTGGAGGTTCAGACTGACTTGACTCCAACTACCACTTCTACATTGTTCTTCCGGGCAATATGTGCTGCCAATCAGTGTGGACCTAGTGTTTATGCATTGGGCCTGGATAAATCCACTGCTTTTGACTCCAATCTTGAATATTTTTTAATGGAAATCCACATTTGAACCAATTGCTCTTATCTTCGACCTTGAAATATGTATGTTAAATTCCATATTTAAACCAAATTGCTTTTAGCTCTGGTCTTGAGTATGTGTGCAGAAGTTCACATCTGAATACATTGCTTTTAGAGCCGACCTAGAATATGTATGTGAAAATTCGTTAGTATTGGTAATCTGAAGGACCTTGCATGCTGCTTCAATAGAGCCAATGATGCAGTGATGTCGGCTTCGAACCCGCCGTTACACATCCTGAACTTGCTCCTGCTTCCAATGAAAAGGAGAGAGAGAGAGAGAGAGCAACCATTGCTTATCCTGTACTTAAAACAGGTTGTGCTCTCTTGTTGTTGGCTTCTAGGGAACTTGTTCAACAATCTTCTGTTTTTACTGTGAGATAAGAGTGTGCCATACTTTGTAGTGCTTACATTGTTCGCAAACCTGTTATTACTGCTATGCCTCCTCAATTTGTATTGGTTTTAAAATGTTTATACACAGTGCAATTGAAGAAAGCTCATTGCATTACTGGAAAACATACTTTTTTCCCTGAAGAGCATGCATAATTCCCGAATCGTGCATTCATTTAGTGCAGTGATGTGGAACATCCACTCTACCTGCAGTTTTTGCTAAATCAAGACTTCAAATTCCCACAAATTGCTTCTTGCTTGTAGTAATCTCCTTTTTTCTTGTTTATGCTTCCTGTGTATATAGGCAAATACATCAACGGAACCATCATGCCTGTCGATGGAGGACTCTGGCTTAGCAGACCTCGACATCTACCTAAAGATGCAGTTAAAGAGCTCTCTCGAACAGTGGAGAAGAAATCAAGAAATGCACCAGTAGGAGTTCCTCCCAGTAAGCTTTGAGTTTATCAACTATACTTATTAGGCATTGTGGTTAAACACAGCACATGGGAGCAATTACAGTGCAGTCGCAGCAAGGAACTTGTTGAAAAACTCTAGTATTATTTCTGGCTAGTGTCCATTGCCATACATTTAAATACATATACTAGGCTATTGGAAACTTAAATTGGACAGCAAATTATGTTAGTACTTTGTTTTTGTTTTTGTGTACCATTCAATAAAGACAGATACCCAGCAAGTATTAAGTCAAAAGATTTCCTACAGGTGTTTCATTTCATGTCCCAGGCTACACAATTGCAGCGGGTTGGAGAAAGGGAATATGGAACCATTTGTTAAGTTAGTTACTTAATTAAAAGAAATGGTGTCCAGTAGGAGGACGCATGTCATAAAATCAGCACTGCACCCCGGAGCAAACTTCGCTGAAGCCGTTTGCATCTCGTTCTAGCTTTCCTATTATTCACAATCCCGTCATCAGGCAGAATTATATGCATTGTTTCTTTTAGAAAAAAACGGAAATGGATAGTTCAGTTGCAAGAATACAAGACATTATATAACCATCACAGCTCATTCATAGCTGAGGTTGCCAGGAAAGAACCTAGCAGCCTCTTCCTTGAAATTGTGCGGAGTCGTTAGTAGCAGAGCAGTATGTTGGGTCGAAAAGATAAATATCTTCCCTCCCTCTATTCTTTTCAGCAAACACTAGTTCAAAGAGGTCATTGCTGGACTGCTTAATAGTTTACACTCGAATTACAATGAGACTTTTCCTTTATTACACAACATAAATAAGCTACTTATGTAAAATCTTTATCAAAGGATGCTAGATGCAGGATTCTCTCTGTTCCCTTCTGCTCCTAAGCTCGCAGCTAAAAGCTACTCACCTAAAAAATCATAGAAAAATAACATGCTCCTTTTGAGGAACTATCACGCTGCAAGATCAAAGGTCAGGCATATTTATGGGCCCAAGAACCTTCAATCCCTTTTCTGCTAGCTCCAGTTGAGGCATTTCATAGCAGTATAATATATGCTTAGCCAAGTGCCTCAGCACACTAGGAATCTCCTATCTCCTCACAGCTAAATGTCTCAGCACACCCCGCATTTAATTGTCCAAAAAATTATTCTTAGTTTACATTCATTTATGAGCAAGTAGTATCCTGACTTTGCACATGAATAAGGGTTAAATATCACCTCTTCTAGTACAATATTTCTGCTGTCCAAGCTTTATTTTTTCAGAGACATGGCTTCCTCAATTTTTTTAATGACCATGCTCAGACTGCATCCATTCTCAATAGCTTTTACAGCAGCTCGATGTGCATGTTTGTGCCATTTCAGCAGATTATAAGATTGCAACAGCGACCACCTTGCTTGATTTGACATCTGTTGAAAAATTTGAATGTTGCATTATAAAAGCAAAGAGTTACTAGACAAGCAAATAACTTTAACCAGAGAAAGACCTGTGCCACAGAGAGTGGGGGTTCCAGAAGAATACTGATGCTTCGGAAGAGATTTTCATCATTTTCTCCACCTTCAGCCTCTCCATAAATAAGAGCTTCAGCTGCAATCCCAGCAAATAGAACCATGCAGTACCTGACAATTTTATTTTTAATTACCTTGGTGCAAGAAACTGCAGCAAACAAAATAGTCAAAAAAGGTTTCTTGATCTCCTTTTTAATGGAGATTTGACGAGACATCGAGCAAAGAACTAAATATATTGCTTGCAGAAAATCCAGAGAAATGGTTCCAGCATAGAAATGTATTTCGTCCACGGAACAAATGTAAGCAAAATGACTGGCTAGGAAATCTACCTGTCAAATGTGGTACCACTTAACTGGCCTTCAGCAAGCTCATTTTCAAGTTTTTCATCCCAAAACTGTGTTCCTGCCTGCATGAAAGAAAAATAAAAGAAGATCACAAGCCAAAATGAGAAATTTTAACTGTTCAAATAGTTCTAAAATGGGTCCACAACCTTATGTGTGGAGGACAACTTTGATTTCCAAGAAAACAAGAAACTAAAGAACTCACTATTTTAATTGTAAATTCTTCTCATAGAACAAGGACAGCCACTACTGAGGAAAAGGAAAATATAAGGGACACCTACATAATTATGTTACACTGTGCCATGTAGAAAAAAAATTATTTATACACCGTGCAACCCCTATTCTTCAATAGAAAAATACTGACAAGACAACTGCAAGAGTCTATGCTGACACATAGCCGATACTTGTTCTACAACTGGTCCTCTCAAAGGGTATAACTTTGGAAGCTTCTACAAGCAACAACAACATACCAAGTGTAATCCCACAAGTGGGGTCTGGAAAATAAGAAAAGGTTGTATAATGTCATGGATAAAATTGTTGTAATGTGGCATCTAATAGAATACTCTTTGTGCATGTTCAGACAGAAACAGATGTCTTGAATTCCCATCTGCTCGCCTTAGACTTAAGGAGAATGGTAAAAGCAGTTATCTATGTAATACGGTCTTTGTTGGCTGTTATTTTAACAAGTGATCCAGCATTACACTCTGAACAAGAGAGACAATTAGAAGGATCTACAGTGACATACCTGTCCTTGAATGCCCATCTGCATTGCAACAATTGGGTCTAAAATTACACCACGAATTGGACAACCCATTAGGTATGCTGCAGTCATATCAGTGGATAAATGAATTACTATAAGAGGTAGGTTAGGCTTACAACTTTACATTCCTTCGAATGTTACAGACAATAAGTGCTGATAGTAGTAGAAAGGCCAAGACTAATAATCTGAGCAGTTGATGTTGGGTAAACAAGCTGATGATATCTATGGCAAGTCATCGCATCGAAACATTAATATTCAGAAGTACAGATTATCCTAACTTAATCTCTGGAAGATGGATGAATCAAATTTCTGAAGTTCTTTCATTCTATTGCAGTAAATTCATCAAATGTTTGCAGAAACATGGTTTACCAACAAGGAGATGGCCTGCTTCATGAACACAAATTCGACGCTTGTAGGGAGGCCAGAAGCTGGAGATTTGTGCTAAGCAGGAACCACCAAGTAATATAGCATCTAGCATGGCAAGCCCCAAAACTGCAGCAATGTTAGGCCTAATATCTATTCCTTGGTTCAGCAGAAACGTGACTCCAGCCAATGATGTTGCCAAAAGAAAGCTAGATGTTCCAGAAAGACCCCACTTCTTTGGCGAAAGTTTGGTCACTGAACTACAGAAGAGTTAAAAAACATGTTACTAAATCAGTACACTTTCTCCTAAAGAAAGTCAGAAAAAGAAACTTATTCTGCGAATATTCCATGTAAATATGCAAGTTGAAACAATTTAGGTGCTTCAGAGAATTGATATGGATTTGCACTGACCATCTAAACCAGTTGAAGACTTTAAGACGGTTGGTGTGACATCCCGTGGCCCTTCCAAAACTGCAGATATAGGCACTGTTGTCAAGATTTGTGACAAAGAATGTTGCAAAAACGATGATATTAACGTGAACGCTTTTGGAATGTGGGAGATAACCAATGATGAAATGATTTTTGTGCAGCAAAAACTGAATATACAGAAGTAGGGTTTCAGCTTTATAGTTTAGTGAAGTAGTTGAAGGCAATATCCACACATATATGACTCTCTCTCTCTCTCCCTATGCGTACGGCTCCAACATGGAATTCTGTTTGTTTTTTTTTTTTCCTTTTTTAATAAGGTAAGGTATATCTTTAAATACGGAAAAAGATTCACTTTAGGAACCAGCAAATGTGTGTTTCATACATTTGATGACATGAAATCAGCAAGTTTCAGGAAATTGACTCGAAAATGCCAATGTAGAAGTAGAATAGATAAAGCACTTCATCACAAAGACAATGATGAAATATTCTCACACTTAATTAGAAATGGGGATTCTGTAAATAGCTAACGTTAACGTCACCTGCTTTTCCATGGCCTATTCAGAATTGTCTGTGTTGTTTTCTAGGACAGAAAAGGGTGAAAGGATAAAAAGATATGGGCTTCATCCAGAAGTCTGGCTTAACAAGCACATGCATATCAACAAATGCTAGTCAGACTATCATTTAGTTTTGCACCACTGCTTATGCTTCTGGTAAGCAGTTACATCCAAATTCCAATTTAGATGAATAACTGCGGTAGAACAAGCAACATCATTTTGATTGAGGTTCAATCATCCACAATCCATTATTCAGTAACACAAACAGTCGTCTCATTACAAATGAAAGAATCATAAAATTACTATCCTTGATTAACCAATAGTGTAGAGTGATTACAGGGAAATGTAGACAAGTGGAGTGTTTGCATTCGGAGGAAGAGAAGTTAAGGTTTTACTTTACCAATAGTGTTGTATTTGGCGAAATTAGGCAAGAGACCTTTGTCCTTGAGAAAAGCATAAGCACTTCCAACAAGCCTCATATCATCGGCATTCAAGCATGTATCTAAAACCTGCCAGTCTCTTTCGATCGGGGACCAATCCAACTTACCGATTGACGAGTCTTCTCTCAAGTAGCGGAGAGCTCGAGAAAGATCTTTGTCCTTAACTGCTTGCTCGTATTCCCTTAAAGCTCTAATTTTTAGGTGACGATGACGACCCCCTTTCCTGTCGTCGCCATTTCGGTAAACCGTCAAATGAGTTGTGCCGGAATTCGGACGACAAAAATCAAGTGCCTTCATCCTCATCCTATTCTTCTTTTTCCGACCCTTACTTGCTTTACATTATATGTACCAAACTCTTGTGTTGCGGTATAGAATGAAGCACGTAATATTCCCAAAAAAAAACATTTTTCCTCTTATTTAACTATGACATTAATATATTGTTTGCAAAATTTGAAATTGAAAGAATGAGTACCAAAATGCTAATTACATATATTAAAAATTGGTAACATTATAGGAGAACTATAGAATTTCACTAATGGTTGTGGATCTATATTGATCTTTAATAATAATCAACTGACATGAAATTGAATAATCTGTAAGATGGATTCACTATTTCACAAATAAATTTATCATGATGATTTCCTATTGGTGAATTTGAAGAATAGTAGACATATTATCGAATAAGCATTAGAAAACGAGTGAAGTAAGGCTTATGATTAGTTAAGGTAACTTGCAAAAACAAAAAATATAAAAACTCAACACACAGTTAATATACTTGCAGTGCAAGTAGCTTTTATGTGCATACTTGAGTAAATAATTGTAATTCATTGAGCCTTTAGAAATTCTTCCATATAAACTTTATGGTGATTAATTATCAAAAGTTACTCTTGATAAAATATCA